ATACAAGTAATAAACACCATACAACTAACAAATTTATTCATTAACATACCGCTCCTACATTTTTTTCATAAACACCACACAAATTCATGATGAAGCAATTGAGTTTAACCGCTTGGGTGATGGTGTAGAGCTTGCCATTCATTGCAAATCAGGAGATGATGACCTTGGAGTGCATAAGATCTCCACTAAGGATGTTTTGGGGAACGACGAAATATTATTGTAATTTTTCATGGCCAAACAATTTTCATTGGTTTGATATTTATATTTATAATAGAGATTCCGAACGATGCAAGGATTATGTTTGGGAAATGTATCCAAATGGCCCTCTTCTGACCAATGAAAATGAACAGTATCCGTGGAATTAGCTCAATTTTATTTCAGATGTAAATAGGATGCTTGGAATTAGGTCAATGGGGCTTTTTGTTTCGCTTCCAAGAGATGGTATGTTGAAAATAAAATGCCTCAAATAAAAGAAAATAATAATAAGAATAATTATGTTTTCATCAGCCATTTTCTTCTTTGATTCAGTGCTTCGATGATATGTTTAAATCCATTAAACGTCATCATTTTGATTATCATGCCCAAAAATATTTACCAATTCCCACAGGGTAAGTGACATTATTAGAGCTGAAGAATTGTAATAAAAACTAAAATAAAATACTAATAAAAACTGTTGGTAAAAAAAAAAAATACTAATGAGACAATAATTTATATCCTCCAACAATTAATCACCAAGGAAAAAAAAAAATCAAGAGTATAAATTAACTATTTAACTTTGAAAACTTGAGTGACTTGACAATAGCTTTGATGAATTGTAAGCAAAAAAATGTTAGGAGTTTTTAAGAACAAATAATAAAATCTAAAGGAAATAATCAAGAGCATAAAAATTAAGATGGCTAGTTTGATAATAGATTCTATAAATTATAAATATTTCGTGAACAATAATAATGGAGAAATTTGTAGAATTTTTAATTAAAAAACCAAAAAATAAAAAATAAAAGGAAACAACCAAGAGGAAAAATGTATTTTCCTCAATGTTGTCTTGAGAAGAAATCAATAGACTATATATAGTACAAAGAGAATTTC